ACATTTTCCCTTTCAATCCTACAGAAGTCAAGGCTTGCTTAGAGTGACTGTCGGGTGAAAGAAATATGACAATGCTTGATGTGAATCATTAACTTCATCTCCTACGTCAAGTGTTTAAGAAAGAACCATACCTAGATCTCAAAACGTAAATAGATTAAAAAATTAAATCCCAACAAACTAGAAGTTTTAAGCAAATAAGACTAAAGGACGAAATTTTTTAGGACAATTCTTCACTTGATGGTGAAACTGATGGTAAGAATTGGAGATCCATGGTATCACCAGATATAAAAATTAATGAAATACAAGTTCAGGCATATAGACCAATACTAGATTAGCAGATGCTTCAAGAAGAAAAAGAATCATCCTATTTATACGGATCTATTTCTGGAAATTAGTATCAGGTCTTACAGTCATAAAACCAGCACTGGTCATTAGTCGGTTATCCTCTCACGAGTAAATGTGACCAACCTCAACTTCAAAAATAAAAACATAAAAAAAAGTAATAAAATTTCCTTAAAAGGGTAAAATCTTGCATACCATCAATTGTTTGCATGTAGATAGAAATCATGCAGTCTATATGATAACATAACAGGGAACAAACTTAGCATCACCATAAAGTTCATTACCTGCCTTGACAAGCGCATCCCATAGCTCTTCAGGCAAGATGCAGCCATTATGCTCGACATCAATAGCCTGAAAAATAGAATACAGTTCCAGCTCCTTCGCATCCATATAGCGCTTGAACTCCTGGTAATCAACGCGGCCGTCACTGTTAGCATCGCAAACCCTAAGAAGATCCCGCGCATACTTATACTCAGCGGGTATACGAAGCGACAACAGGCCGGCTTCGATCTGTGCGTAGTCGAGGTAACCTGCGCCGGTGTTATCGAAGAAGCTGAAAAGGCTCCGGATTCGAACCTCGCGGTCATCCTTAGTCTCCCTTAGGGCGAGCAGCAGATGATCCATGGACACGGGGCCCGGCTTCTTCACAGGATTGCACCCGTTTCCGCCGGGAGTCCCCGCCGACATCCTCTACGAAGGGTTCAGGCCGCGGCGACCGCCGGGGTCAAAATTGCAGCAGTCGACAAACAGACGGATGTGGAGGTCGTGGAACTCAGAGGCAATGGAGAAGGAAGAGGAGTTGAGAGGATTAGGAGATGAAGGAGATGATCGCTTGCTCATCTGAGAAATAGATTGAATCGATCCATCTCACTGATCCATGAATGCAGGTTGGGGTTCTGCGACCATTGTATGGATTCCGGACAGAGAAAGCTTGAAGGAGAGAGTGCGTTTCCTCTAGATTTCAGACTCGGGAGGTTTGAATTTTGTTTCCTCTGTTGCACTGCTTTTACTCTTAGAAATATATTATTTAAATTTTTAATGGTTGTTTTATTGGTCAATTTTTATTTTTATTTTTTTCTCATAATATTCATAATTGAGCAAATATAAATGTTTTTTTTTTTAAGAAAAGAAATATGCATAGAAAATTCATTTCATTTCATATCAAAATATTGCTTCTAATCTTGAACGGTTTGTCACGAACAAAAATCGGCTCGACCGATTCATATCTGAGTATCATTCTAACCTTAGTTTAAAGTTTGCTCAAACTCATAGTTTGAATACAAACTAATTCAAACTAAGTTTGAACTCATGCTTTAAACAATTCAAGACGTGTGTAACATTATTGAGTATTATCAATCAATAGTGTTACTTCAAGAATTTCATTAAATTAAAACATTAATTGAAAAATGAGATAGATATCAAAAGTTGCAAGGATAATTCATTTTTACATCAATACAAGCATAATTTGGTAAAAATAAGGAATTTTAAGTAAGAAAATTGTTATGAAAGGGATGGGCACATGGCTATACAAGTAAACCAATTTAGAGTTTTTCACTTCATATCACAATGCCTATGTTGCACCTCATCCTCTACTTTTAGAAGAATTATTATTTTATATTGGACTGCCACCATTAGAATTAAATGAAAATTTGATATTCAAATAAGACACAAGAGTTAAAAAGGATTCATGTAGCCAACCCCACCTAGTGGGATAAAGGCTTCTTGTCTTGTTGTTGTTGTTGTTTTGTTTTTTATGTACTACCACTTCGCTTTACAATAGGATAAGATGACACTATAGTTTACTTCATTTAGACCTTCAAGGTGCTATGATTTTCAATTGATTTATATTTTCATATATGCATTTAGCATATTCATGAGTCTAAAACATTGAGCATAAGATGTATTAATTGAACTTCGGTCCAAGCCATCTTTGTGTGGGGCACATTACATTATATTTTTTTATATGTATATACATATTAATATGCAAATTAACATTACTATTAAGATCACATTAGAAATATGCAATTTATTCTAACTAATGGGATATATAATTAAGCTTTAAATCTTACAAGATGGCTTCCTCTGTGCTTTTTTTTTTTGCCAAAAAAAATTACATTACATTTAATATACTTGTGTGTCTTCTAAATTATTATTTCTATATTATGTAATTAAAGCACTACAAAAAATAATCATTGCATAAGAACCTACATTCTTTAAAAATATTTTTTAAGCTTTCTAAAATACTTGTTGTCATAAACTTGTATCAATTTCTAAACACGAAAGAAAATGCCTACCACTTAACTAACTTCATTTTCAATATTAGGTACTAAAACTAGATCCTTCACGCATGTTTTGTTAAAATGCTAATAAAAATCATCTCTTTTATATATTTTAGAAGCCGAATAGTAATCTTAATGATTCTTTTCATTTTAAATATTGTTATAATATTCATTATAATAGTATAAATGCAAACTCCACGGTGTACCTATGGAGATAATACAAATAAAGTATTAGCGATCATGTTATGTATGTTAGAGACAATTACTAAATTTGTCATTAAACCTATAAAGTGCCATAATTTAAGCATAAAATAAATCCACAATTTATTAGTCATTAAGTTAACAACTACAAATGTTGTTAAATCTTAGTGTTGGCATGTTGTACACTACCTCCATAATGTGTCTTCAAAAATATTTTCAAAAATATTACATTTATAATTAAACTAGATGATATGCACCAACGAAATTGAATGCAAAACAGAAGAAAATGCACTTAAAATATCCTAAAGAGTGAAATAGAAGATTAATAACTATCCTTAGATTCTTCTTATTCGGGACACTTTTATATGATGATAATTTTTAAAAACAATGCTTTTGAGGACCATCTTACAAATGTGATGGCCTTCTCACGGCTCCTCGAAGCTTTTCATAAGCCACATTTTTGCCATAATCACTCTTTACTTCTGATATCATATTTTCTATTTCACATTAACATTATATCCGATGAGCTTCTCTTTAGTTATGTATCTATTAAGTTATGGTTAAGCTTGCTTACAGAATATGGTACATCTCCCAATCTTAAATCCATTTAATTTTGCCAACTTTATTTGCTCATAGGTTCCTTGAACAAGTTTTAGAAGTGCAAGAGATAAATAAAATGCCTCATTTAAATATTTTAACCTTAATTAAATTTTTTTCTTCATTACATATTGATGTAACTGCCTCTCATCTTTGCTCTAAATTGTTGACTAACTTCTATATGCATTAAAGATAGACTTCAGCATGAGATTATTAATTCAATAGTAAGTAAATTAGAATTAATGTTAGGAGCTTAGCTTCATAAGAGTTATACATACATTCTCTATGTCATGAATTATTGATTTCAACCCTAAAGTACATGAAGAATTAGAATACCTCGCTCTTTTACTGGTTTTAAGTACATCATTAAGATGTTGGTTGTAATCTCTAATGGATAATTTAACATTGAAACATTCAAAGAAAGGAGCGAATATGGCACCTGGGAGTGGAATGGTGTGGGGAAGTTAATTGGGTGATTTGTAAATTATTTAAGTTACTTTTAAAATTATTATTGAATAAAAATTGTATTGTTATTCAAATTTAATTTGTCATAATGTTATAACTAAGAATACGTATGTACAAAAATAAAATAAAACATTACGAGACAATCACAATTACATGCATAAAAATAAATGCATAACGAAAAGAATAAACACAAATGATTTTTATGTTATTCACCTCAAAAACTAACCCTATGGCTTATGACCATGCCTAGCCAACGTTCTCGCTGGGAATTCTTTTCCAACAATAACAATATCTTTGAATAGGGCAAAAATAGCTTACACATAGACCCACTCTCCTTCTGGACAAGTGCAACCCAATGTACTCTGCACTGAGCAAATAGAACCCCAACTTGATTAATCACACACATCCTCTTTCTTTTCGTGAATGAAACTTATAACCAAAATTCTTTCAAATTTTGGATGTGATCGAAAAAGAACATCTATAAAGTGCATAGTATCCCTATTCATGATGTGTAAAATGAAGACTCGGTCACTAATCATATACCAGTTGTTCATAATTTTTTACTTGATCTCACAAATATTTTACACAAACCACCAAGGCAACTATAAATTTAAGAAAATTTGATAAACCTTCGAAGATTTTCATTCTATGTAAAATCAAATATAAATTTTAGGAAAAATAATTTTCTTAGTTTGAATCATAATAATATAAGAAAATTCAAGCAACACTACAAATACTTTTGATTTTTAAGTCAACATGTCATATTAAAATAAAATCAATATTTTCGTCAATATAATATTTTTTTAAGAATCCAAATAATATGAGGATGTATATTAAAGTAAAATGAGATTTCTATACATCCAAACATAAAATTTGATTTTAAACCAACACACTATAAAATTTGATCTAGACCAACACACTATAAAATTTGATTTAAAAAATCATGAAAATTTAAATAATATCTAAATAAATTTTCAATTAACACAATATAAATCTTGATCCAAATGATCTTGAAAACATAAATAAAAAAGAAATAAGCTTTTTAACCAGCATAATATAAATTTTTGATTCAATATTAATGAAAATTTAAACTAAAATAAGACGTTTAACCAACTCTGCAATTCGACCATTCGAGCGTGCGCCTCAACATGATAGACAAAGCCCTCGACCACCAGACCGCAGGTCCAATCGCTTTTAATACCTCTAAAAAAGGTAATTTGAAAACAAGTCATGTAACCAACCAAAATAAATCAGGAAATTGAAATACATAATTGTACATTATGAAATAATCATTTTAAAGCACACAATTAGTGAATGTTTCACAGAACAATTAATGTGCTAGATAATAATATAGCACAAGCAGTCTTGATGAGATCAAAACTATATATATATATATATATTTGTGATAAGGCGATAAGATGAGAAAAGTAAGTCAACAGCTCAGATTGTAATGGGGTGATGTTTTACTATTTATATCAATGTCTTAAGTAATTATAGTTTATTGACAAAAAATAATAATCATAATACAAAATTCAAAGCAAACTGAATAATTTATGAAGTACATGCAGCAGCCAGAGGATGACAACTCGGCGCAAACAATAATAGCGACGAAGTGATGGAAGAGCTCCACCGACAAGCAGCAGCCAACTTGCAAAAGGAGTTCCAGGTGGATAAAAGACAAACTGGTATTTTGATATAAATAAAAGCCACCATCAAGCATTTAGGATTCGAAAATGAAATTCCCAAGCAAAGAGGGTCTGAGCACAAAAAATAGTAATGGGTAGGTTGTAAGTTCAATTCCCTTTAATGAAATGAAAAGGGAAGATTTGCATACATACAACTCATTTCTTTTAAATACCCACCATCTAATGTTTGATTTTAATATATATAGATAGATGGATGGATGGATAGATATATGACATCTTAACTGTCACCTTTAGGAACGATCATGGTGCAATAGAGGTGAAAGATTTGTTCAAATAAAATTCTCACCCACACGAGTTCTGATTTGCACATATCATGACTCGGTGGATAACAAATTAGTCTAAATCAATCATTACAAACATTCACAATTCAATTCAATTCATAAATCATTAACATTCCCAATTGTTTGGTAGCGTGCATGATAATATCACCATATATACAAAGTTACTAAATATCTAATATATAAGAAATATGTACCCAGAAGTCTTTACAAGTTTCAAACCTATACAAACAAAAAAGTGTATACAATCATAAATGGTTGATCGCTTTGATGCTTCTTACTCTTTTTTGAAAATTAACAAAATATAAGAGTGTGCTACAAGCGCAACAAAATAATCAATGCTAAAGTAAGATTTTATAAATAAAAAAATAAAAAAAAACAATGTGCATGTGTAATCATAGCTCTTATGTATGACAACAGTATACACAATAAACATGTTTTAATCATATGAGACATTTAAGAAAAAGGGCATGGAATGCAATAAACAATAATACCAGCAACAAGTATATATTTCATTCATTAATGTACAATTATAAGTATATGAATAATTATTTCATAATCACTAATTGTCGTCTTAGAAATATCAATTGTAATTGCATAGACTTTGACTACATTCATTTCAATTCATATTATTGGGTCTCAAAATAACAAATAATAAATGTTAGAGGTCTCCCAATGTAGTAATTATTAATAGTCCCTCTAATAATTTTTTTTTGTGTACTGACATAATGAAGGGCATACTTATAGAGAAAAGTAAATTGTCTCAAACTATTATTGTCTTGGACTCTTAAATTAAATTGAAATACTTAGCCGTTGTTTGGGATCCATTTTTGTTTTTTTATCTTTTATTTTTGAAAATGAAAAATAGGAAACATACATGAAAATAATATTTGTTTATTAGTTTTTTTATTTTATTTTTTGGGAGAACACATCTATTTTTAAAATATTAAAAAGAAGAAAAAACATGTTTTTGGACTGTTTTCAAAACGCCAAAACAACCCTTCGCCTGGCCTGTCGCCTGTTGTTGCTGCTTG